ATCATATCAATATATTATATCAGTATGCTTATCAATATGTTGCATCAACGTGTCTATCAATATAACTGTCATATGTTATGCCATATTATATAAATCTCAATGCTAGTTCTATGAACACTATATAACTTTTATCTATTAATCAATTCAATTATTTAATATGCTATCATGTAAATGCAAACATTGATACAATTATAAATAGCAAGACAGGACATCCATTATTTGAAGTGTAGTTTTTCTTCTTTCCATCTATCATCCATCGATCATATCAATCTATCATTATCTATTAATCACATTATTCAATTATTTCTATTAATAATTTATTTTAATATGTGACTTTTAATAAATCTATAAAAAGTTATTACTTTCTACTTGTCAGCATAATTAATCAATCAGTTACAGGCTAACATTCAGGATTACACCATAAACCCTTTCTTATTTAAAGGAAAGTCATCAGCCCACCATAATGTACATAAATTACATTTTAATACCTAAATCATATTAATTATAATGTTAATAGCAACCTTCCTTGCCTATATACAAATCTCATATTTACCATATATTGGCCATATCATTTTCTCTATGTAATTCAATATTCAATATGAAATGCAAGAAAATATATACACTTTTCATTACCTTTAAAAAATCACAACAATCGATTTACCTGATAAAAATTAATAATATTATAGTCAAAATGCTCATAAAATTATATATATCATATATAAAAAGTTATATGATGAAAGTTTGATAAATTGAGAGAACATATATTTTTATCAATTTCGAGAAGATTGAAATCATAAAATACAAAATCACTAAAGATAAAAATAGGATTCAAGTTATCTAACATGATCATATATATAGACATGCTCATTTCTTGAGGCCCAACATTGCAACGTACACCCTAAAGCCTTTTTTTGTCTCCAAAAACCTAAGAGCTCAACACAAGGGTAGCTCTACCCTGATGCCGCAGTGCTTTTAGTGACGTCGCTCCATCAAGGACTACGCCACAACACGACACCTCAAAATTTATAGGAATTTTAAATCAAGCTATTTTATAAAATTCATATTGAGACAATCTACCAACTTAAAAAAAATGTCATCTCTGATATTTTCAATCATCAAATAATTAAAAGAAAAAATACGATAAAATATATTCGTTCAAATCAAATTAAAAACCAAATCAAAATAAAAAACCAAATTGATAAAATTTAAAACTACTACTTATTGTTGATTCATCAATCCTACCATTTATTAAATCATAATTTTAAACAATCAACTCATCCGCGCATTTATGCATATCATTTAATATACTATTTTGTGAGAATTTTGAGATCATTAAGTGTCCATTTTGCAAATCAATTCCACTATAAACTTTAAAAAAAATTCATTATTTTATTACTACTTTTTAATTTTTAAACTTCCAAATAGATTTATGTGATTTTCTATTTAAAATTGAATAAATTAAATAATTATATTAATATTATATATTATTTTATTATAAAATATCCTAAAGCATTAACATATCTCATCAAAACCATTTCCCCTTAATTGATTTTAGCTAGGAGAGACCTCGTGAGGTAAAATAGAGAGAAAAGAGAGGAGAGTGAAAATAAAAGCTCAAGTTTGGAGGTCGTACAATAATTTTCGTCCGTCGAGCCTACTGGGATATTCGCTTTAGAAACTGATAAGTGACATTTAGGATGAAAGACATTGAGTGTAAGGAGAAAGCCCACCGACGTGTTCCTAGAGGAAATGTCTAACTGCGGTACTAAGCATGCAATATTAGATGATTCGATAGAGTCAAAGAATGATAAGTTCAAAAGAAGTCTCGATGAGAGGGCACACCAAAGCTGATTTTGATGGAAGTACCATTGAGACTTGTAAATTCTATCATCTTTGCAAAAATAGTGAGGCTTCTAAAGAAATACCACATTATTTGAATAAGGGATAAATAGCCGGAGATTAAACCTCCCACCCTATTATCCTACACATGCACCATAAAATTTCGTAGGTGTAGATTGAATAAAGCTGTTCTTAGTCGCTATATCAAAGACTATGAGAGAAAATTTTATCGTCCCATATGCACATTAGATATCGAAATGTCATTGGGACACCAAAAATTATATTGTGCTTTGTCCTAATCAAACTTCGAAGAGGCTACCTTATGATGAAGTGAAGATAAAGAAATATAATCGTATCTTCACCAAGCCTTTAGTCTCATCTGATTATGATACCTTATCTATTATAAAATGACTTCTTGCAACTTGAATGTCCTTGTCTAGACTGAGTAAGGATTAGATGGGTTGTGGATCTAATCTCTCTAAGGGCAAGAAGACGAAGCTTGCATCAAAACAATGAAGTATCTCATGGCTATTCTAAACAATACACTATGGTTCACCGGCATAGACCCTAGCGAGCATGTCAAAGGTACACACATGATGTCTGATGATGTTGCACGGGTTAAAAATGAATTTAGATACAAACCTAATCCTTAGTCGGTGAATTGACAAAGTCAACCATGTTTAATCAACAAAAATTATATCAACCCATAGAATCTTGATGATAGCCGTGTTGATAAAAAATCTCAACAAAAGGGGGTCATAAAGATTTATAATATCTTCCAAATACCTATAAAAATTAAAAATCCTAAAAATACCATGATTTAAAATATTTAAAATTAAAACAAATCATCATACACTTAAAGTTAAATCCATCTACCTTTTGCAACAGTTTATCGAGGTGGTCAAATTTAAAAATTACTTATGCTCATAAAGAGATAATATCTGGTCTAAAATATAAATATAATTCAATTTCAATACATCTCTTTCTAGTAAGGATGTGACAGGTGTCCTCTAATCAATATTTTCATAGCCAAATGACACCACACTAGTGGTTTCAAAGCAAAATTTAATAGAAACGGTTATATCGGGACCCTCTGACCAGATGGTTTTGCTACCAAATGGAACCATTAAATTATGATCATGGTCAAAGCCCGCATGTTCCTCCAACGGATTCAAATCCTTGATATATTAATCAATATGGTATAATCAACAGGGCACAAAGCCCTTTATTAGCTAAGATGGATTCAGATTTATCTCCTCAGACAAATACTCACCCGGCCAGGTCTACCAGGTACCCTTGAACAAAGCAACCCATGGTTATTGACAATGATCCTTCGATCAGGTTAGGTCAACTACCTCCTCTGACTAAGTAGACCAGGGACTACGATGGCCTAGGATGATGGCCATGGGATCTTGTTTGGGCTTATCATCATTCCCCCACCACCAGCTTTAAGTACTAGGTGATAAAATTTCTAATTTTAAACATTAAATTCTCAAATACCTAAATCATGTTGCGACTTTATGTCAGATACTCATATTTGTTCGATGGGTAGCCTTAATCGAAAGTTCTCTCTTATTATCAGGATGGGTAATTAACTATAGGGGCTTGCTCCTACAGAAAGACAAAACTCATATCATAAAGTCATCGTAAAATGAGGGCGAAATATTTAGGTGGTGTCTTATTTAAAATGAATCTACCTTCTGAAAATTTGCATCGAAACATACTCATTAAAACTCCGCTCAACGACCCCAAGAAGAGAAAGAAGAGGGTCCGCGGAGAGGCTGGGGCACTAATTTTCGGAGCCCGCACTTATAAGGTAAAGCTCACAAAAAAATTATAAAAATCACATATAAGATTTAAAAAATCATATAAATGTGAGAGTATTTGATTCAGGCTTCGTTTAGGATAGTTTCCTGATTGCTTTTAAAAATAGTTTTATAGTACAAAAAAATATAATTACTCAACAAAAAAAAATATTTACTTAAAAACTTCTTTAATACTAAAAAAAAATGGTCCCAAACAAAACCTCAATGATCATATTAATGATTTCCTATTGATGATGAACATGCTGGAAGGAATTGGATACCTCTAATTGACTGATTGAATAGCTGCGTTAAAGAGCCACTATAATAAAAAATTTAGAGCATCGGAATCTTAGAGATGGGACTAAATATTTTGTCATAGTCAACCATTTATTCTTGCTTGTATCCTTAAGCCATCAATCGTGCATTGTTGACATATTAGATGTTATAAATTATAAACTTTTTTAATCATTTAATATTTAATATTTTATTTTCTTAAATAGTAAGTAAAAAAAAATTCCAATGTCAATAACAAGCTGGAATGAAAAAAAATTTAGAGAATATTTAAAAATTTCTGGCTTCCCCATTCACTTGGGGTGGGGCAGCTGAAGCTTCAGGAAAATGAGGAAGTTGTGTGTATAGAGAAAGGTTTGATGGGCTGGAATTATAGAGATTGGTGGGAGACATATTGTCTTCATTGGAGAGCCATTATTGAGGGAATATGATGTGTTTTTAATACATGGAGATGGCCTGGCGGTTCACGTAATTGTCAAAGATATTGAAGTAGACTGAGGTGGAGAACTTGGAATGTTGAAGATAAGGATTGAAGTGAGAGGAATGTGAGGAGTGGCTTGTGTAGGTAGGGATGTAGTAGTGGAGAGATGTTGAAGTTTGCTAAAAATAACATGTTGTGCGCAGGGATGGATCCCTCTTTGGCTCAGGGGCCATGGCCCATAGATTTCCAACATATCTGCGAAGCATGCCATGATCAAGGGTTGATTCAAATTCGAGGCAACACCAATAATTACTTATAAATTTACCCCCTCCTAAAAGAAATGAGAAAGATACACATTGATATTGAGAGCACACATGGTTTCTAAAATACGCCAATACTTATTGCTCCACCACTTCATTCTTTTCAAGGTTGTGAGGACACGAATGTTGATGGCAACACCAAATTGGCTTAATATTCACCGCCTCCATCAATTGCAATAATTTTTTTTGTATTGATTGTATTAGTTTCAGCAATAGTTTTAAATTTTAGGAAACATGAATGATGTAGTGGATCGTCGGAAGAATCGACCTGCAAGAAGGACTTAATCCCAATTCAGGGAACAAGAGGAACACAAGCTTCAAAGCTTCATAAAAGAGATAATATTCATTCAATATCCCTTCCTCTTACACATTCCACATATATATAATGCCCAAATAGAGATAACCCAGAGAAACCTAGAAAGTTCTAAAAAACATGAAACAAATCTATAACAAACTAAATAAAATAACCTAAGGAACAAATTAAGCTATAATGTTCCACATCATTCTTCCCTTGCATAAAAGAGCTCAACTCCGTCGAGGTGCTTTATTTGAAGGAAGATGGATGTAAAAATTATAATCAATCCTCCTGGGTCAAACAATTTGCGTCTTTGACGCCCAATCATTACTCGTATAGCAGTCATCTTGTCGTCATTAACACCACCATAATAACATGGGCTAAGGGTTAGTGCACGCTCAAGATAAGGCTTCAAATGTTCAATAAGCAAATCCCTTCTTATCATCTCCACACCACCCTGATAGTACTCAAGCATATTTCTTAAAAAAGAACTCCTTATTAAAATAATCCTAGCTGAAATTTGCTGCCCTGCATGCATAACTTTCAATGCATATTCTCGCTCTTCATTACCAGGACGAGAGCCATCAGAAATAGCAAATGAAAGTGTTCTTATATGATCAAGCAGAAGCAAGTCATCTCTTCCTTCAAAGCATAGAGCACACTGTCCAGTAACCAGCTCAAGAAGCATGATGCTATATCGAAAAACATCAGTCTTCTCGGATGCCCTGCCTGTGGCTATATATTCAGGCGCTATGCGGCCTTGAGTTCCACAAATCTGAGTAGTTACAGATGTTTTCTTCATATCCATCAGCTTGGCCAATCCAAAGTCTCCAACTACAGCCTCAAAGTTCTCATCAAGAAGCACATTCACGGATTTGATATCACGATGGATGATCTTTGGATCGCACCTCTCATGAAGATTTGGCAGAGCTCGAGCGATTCCAAGAGGCACAAAATCTAAAAGTGGATATTCGGGCTTCAGTTCTCTTAAATGATGAGCAACACTTAAATTAGCCATAAATGGATAAACTAAAAGTCTTACTGTTGTACAAAAGCCAATCAAACTCAAAAGATTTTGATGCACCGCTATACTTTTCATCTCAAGTTCGCACAGGAAGGAAGATTCACCAAATGAACTCAGACCATCCTTCAATCTCTTTACCGCAATATTCATGTTGTCCTGAAGTACTAAATCAATCTTAACAAGGAAGTCGTCATCACCCAACTGCACGAAGTCATCAGCGACAATACGTCGAGCAACTTGTGAGCATGGCGTTGGATTAGCTTTGTTAGTGGATTTCACATCCAGCACTTGCACACCTGTAATGAAAACCTCTATGATAGCATCTGAAGCATAATCGTCATAATCAGATGTAACTAGCTTCTCTTTTAACTCCAAAAATCTTGATTCAGATGAGATTCTCCCCTTAACTATTGTTGTACCGTGATCAACAAAATGGTTCAGAATTTGAAATTCCTTCTTTATCCTTGGCCAATCTTCAGCAGGTCTCAATTCTGTGGATGCAAGGCGATTTTCTTCCTCTTCAGCATTATTGCAGACCTTGCATTCATGAGCAGCAGCCACTTACTTTTCTAAATTGCAAGAACTCCTTGAATGGGTATTTAGTTCATCATTATCTTTGCATATATCCGAACAATCCCAGTCAATTTTGGAAGAACCATCGACGCTCATGATGTTGCTGCATCGGGTATATTGGCTTCGATGGCTTTCTGAGCCCTTGGAGCTCGAACTGGAGTATAGAGGGGAAGGATTCAGAGAAATATGATTCTTCTCGCCACATAATTTGTACATGGGCTTCTCTGTGGCTTCGAGGGTAGGTCGAACCATGAGATCGTGGGAGCTGTGTGGGGATGGGAGCTGGAGCGAAGGTGCGTTCCGGACGGACGCTGGCGTGGGTTTGGCAACCAAGAGTGGAGTGGGAGCAACGGCGGGAGTTCTGTCTGTGTGGGACCAATCGGGCTCGATTTAGGCGACTGGTGTCACGCGCTAGTGGCAGACGATGGCGGATGCTGGTGCGGCGAGCCATGCGGGAGCAGAGGAAATCGGGCAAGTGCGAAATCGGTTGAAAGCGAGTGTGAGTAGATGGCCGAAGATAGTTTGCTTACCGATGTGCATACTCGTTCTAAAGAATGATTGAAATCGGCAAATGAAACATCAATCCGATCAATTGATGCTTCCACTTGAACCGGAAGAGCTTCGCAGCGTCGATCACGATCGACATCCCTTCTTCTTCGGTGGCCATCTTCGTGAGGATAGTGAGACAGCGGGTCTCGCCATTGGAGTGGAAGTTGGAGCGGAGGATAGTCGTCTTCTTCGTCGTCGACCGCCCATCTCCTTCGCCGGTGATCTTCGTCGACCGCCCATCTCCTTCGGCGGCGATCTTCGTCGATCGCCCATCTTATTCGGCACCGATCTTCATCGACCGCCCATTTTTTTCGGCTTCGATCGTCGTCGACAACCCATGATGAGGTATGCGGCGGAAGAAGCAGGTTCACAAGACAAAACCACAAAGAGAGAGGCAGGTTGCCGGCGGTGGCAATGGCAAAAGCCAAAGTTACTATTTCATTCACTACTGTTCTCATCTTCTCAAAGAGAAGAAATACAAAATGACTATGGATAAAAATAGATAAAGGCTAAAAAGAAACAGCCTGCATACATAACTAAATAAGGTAAGTAGATTAGTGGAGCAGCAGCTACTAACAGAAAGCATGGAGAATTTTCTAGTAAAAGAACTAAAGGATAGTGTGCACCGGTCCACCGTGGTGCAGCAATGTGAGGCAGCAACGTGGTGCAGCAATGTGGTGCAGCGTGATGCTCCGCATCATTCTCCCCCTCCGTGAGAAGAATCGGACTCCGATGAAGACATGTTAGTGGTGGCAGCATCAGGAGGGTGATATTCAATAAGGTCTCCAATATTGAAGGTAGTGGACGTGTTGAAGTGATTGGGTATATCCACGATATATGCGTTCGGGTTGATCTTCTTAAGGACAGCGAATGGACCAGCTTTTTGTGGGCTTAGTTTGGAATAAGTACCTTGTGGAAACCTTTCACGACGTAGTCGGACCATAACTAGATCACCCGGCTTAAATTGCCTATCTTTGCGGTGCCGATCAGCGGCTTCTTTGTATCTAGCAGTGGCTGAAATGAGTTGTTGGCGTACTTCTTGCAACATTGTGGTGAATTGCTCAGCAAAGTCAGTGGCCCGTTGACTGTTGCATTTCGGGAGGACAGCTACATCCACTGTGTGATTTGGTTGTTTCGTGTACACAATACTGAAGGAGCTACGTCCAGTGGATCGATTGTTCATACTGTTATACGCAAATTCTGCTTGGCCCAGGAGTTCATCCCAACTTTTGGGATGGTCCTGTACCACACAACGTAACATGTTCCCCAGTGTTCGATTGACGACCTCGGTTTGTCCATCCGTTTGAGGATGGTAAGCAGAGCTGAGCTTGATCTCCGTGTTCAGCCTCTTCCATAACTCTTTCCAAAAGTGACTGATGAACTTAACATCACGATCGGATGTCAAACTCCGAGGTACCCCATGAAGTCGGACGATCTCAGCAAAAAAAATGCGGGCAACATTCAATGCGTCGAACGTTTTCTTACATGGCACAAAATGAGCCATTTTGGAGAAACGATCGACGACCACCATGATCGAGTCGTATCCTCGTTTGGTGCGAGGTAATCCCATGACGAAATCCATGCTTAGGTCTTCCCAAATAGTCTCAGGTATAGGCAATGGCAGGTATAGTCCCTGCAATGTTCCTCCGGATTTGAAATTCTGGCAAACAGAGCACCTCTCGACGAACCTCATAACGTCACGGTGCATGTGGGGCCAAAAAAACCTGGTTTGTAATTGTAGGTAGGTATTATTTCGTCCCACATGAGCTGCTGATGAGGTATGCGGCGGAAGAAGCAGGTTCACAAGACAAAACCACAAAGAGAGAGGCAGGTTGCCGGCGGGGGCAATGGCAAAAGCCAAAGTTACTATTTCATTCACTACTGTTCTCATCTTCTCAAAGAGAAGAAATACAAAATGACTATGGATAAAAATAGATAAAGGCTAAAAAGAAACAGCCTGCATACATTAACTAAATAAGGTAAGTAGATTAGTGGAGCAGCAGCTACTAACAGAAAGCATGGAGAATTTTCTAGTAAAAGAACTAAAGGATAGTGTGCACCGGTCCACCGTGGTGCAGCAATGTGAGGCAGCAACGTGGTGCAGCAATGTGGTGCAGCGTGATGCTCCGCATCAACCCACCTTCTGCAGTCCATCGTTCTTCGCAAGCTCCGGGCTCTAATACCAACTGATGTAGTGGATCATCGGAAGAATCGACCTGCAAGAAGGATTTAATCCCAATCCAGAGAACAAGAGGAATACAAGCTTTAAAGCTTCATAAAAGAGCTAATATTCATTCAATATCCCTTACTCTTAAACATTCCACATATATATAATCCCCAAATAGAGATAACCTAGAGAAACTTAGAAAGTTCTAGAAAACATGAAACAAATCTATAACAAACTGAATAAGAAAGGAAGACGATGGCTTTTGCCATTTTAAATACAATGGTTTTTGTCGAAAGTAAAGTTTCATTTGGGACGGCTTTCTTATTGCTTCTTAAAGCAGCTTTTTAGTACATATTTTAATTTTTGTACTAAAAAAATATTTTAAAAAGCAGAAAAAAATCGTAACAAATGAAGCCTAAGTTAGTGAACAAATATTAAATTATGAGGAAGTTGAGGAAGATAATATAGTGAAGGTAAGTGCAGCTTATGAGCAGGAGTTACCAAAAAGATCTTGCTCTGTATTGGCAATTTGCACCTTTTATCCTTCTTTTATTATGACATGATATCTTTCAGTGTAGGGAGTTTGATTGGATAATTTGCCAGGATTAGAGATCAGAAGGGGCATTGCTTCTGTATCAAGTAGTCAATCTATAGTAGCTTGCGAGAGTCGAGCACACATGGCTTAAGTGGGCAGTAAGGAGGAATTATATTTTAAGTTCGTCCTGTAACAGCACTTAGCAGTGGAGTGCCCAAAACTACTACAACTTTGGCCTTTAATATGTAATTGATTGCATCCACACCCCATTCCTCTTCCATAAGAAAAGCATGCTTGGTTTAAAGCATTTAAGTTCTTCCCACCTCGGTCGGAACCCCAATTGATAGTCAGTACCGAGTGTTAATCTCATATTGGTACGCTGTGAGTGTCTAGTGTTGAGGGTAAAAGTAAACCATGCAACGAACATGATTGCTCAAGCATTCACAATATGCATAGTTACAAGTTCAATTAGTGGGCACTCACGACTAGAATCACAAGTATTGCAACTATAAATTTGTCGTAACATAGTAATTGCAATGAGTCAAATGACTGCTAACTTGAATCCTCCAAACCATTTATGGCCATCTTCAATCACAAATAATTTTCTCAACCTAATGTTTCTTGCTTGGCTATAACTAATTTTCTCAAAATAAAGTTGATGCAATAATCAAATCCATACATATAACTTATATACATTCAATATATATATAACAATCTAATATGTAATAAACTTATAAGGCATAAAATAGGCCTTTGATATGATTCAAAATATAATATTTTTCATAACTAATTAATTGAAATTATAACTTGTTATTATGCTTAACTTCATCTGTTTGATGTGTATACACAACAAAAATATAAGTACTGCATACATATAGCAAATCATCATCACATTTGTCACCATCCTCTTCGACATTATCATCTTCAGGTCGCTTTTCTTCCTCTATCTAGTCCTCCAACCCATTGGTACCTTCATATAAAGTGCCTTGTTGTTGTAATCTTGTAAGCAGGGGTATCAATTTCAGGTCACGGGTCGGGTTCGGGTCGAACCCAAAACTGACCCGACATTAATCGGGTCAAACCTAATCAGACCCGTTTTTGCAAACAGGTCGATTTTCTAGATACGAACCCGACCTGCTTCGGGTTCGGGTCAACCCGACCCGACCTGTTTCAGCCAAATCCCGCACCTCCATTAAAAAATTTGGCCAAATCGGCATCGGTCGCGCGTCACACGGGCAGTGACGTTGCGGGTAGACAGGGCCATGCGGTAGTGGGCAACCAGCGGTCGCGCGTCACGCGCATTCGAGCGAATCGGGCAGGCGCTGGTCTAGCGGTCCGCGTGTTTGGGCAGGCGGGCATGCGGCAGCGGGTCACGCACGTTTGAGAAGACGAGGCCGCGCGGCAGCGGGGTGCGGGGGCAAGCGGACAAGCTACGCGACTTGATGCGCGCGGGCAGCCGGGCATGCGGGGTTTTCCGGGTCATTCCGGGTCATATCGGGTTTTCGAGTCCACCCGAGCCCGACCCAGTTTTACAAACGGGTCGATTTTCCGGACCCGAACCCGACCTGCTTCGGGTTAGGGTCAACTTAAACCCAAAATTTTCGGGTCGGGTTCGGGTCGGGTCCAATATTGACACCCCTACTTGTAGTCCTCCATCTCCATTTTTATCACTTGTTTCTCTCTAAATTGGCTACATGTAGATCTTTATGATGTTGATGAGACCCAAACCATATGCACTTGCTATCTTCACCATTACCACCAAAGCCATATATATATAGCCTTTGATCAACTCCATGTAACTTCCAAACCTATTCCCAAGAGATTAATCATATCGTTTTAGGTCAAGCATATTTAATTTCATAAGAATCATTTTTTTGACGTTAAGACCAAGTTTCTTTGTAAATATTTTTGTTTTGTGCATACAACTTACTATTATCTCATCGTCTAGAAGCATTGACTTAATTATAGAAAGATAATAATCATGACAAGTATTTGATAAATTTAAATTTATAATAATAAATTGAACAACTAATAATATTGAGCGATGCTTACAATTCTTTCATAGTTTCATCAACATCTATTATCAAAGCATAAAATTTTACAACACATATATGTAGTGTTTCTTCGATTTCAAATATATGTATGTTTGTCATTTATGCACCATAAACATAAGGACCCCAAGCATCTCTCATCATATCAATATGATGTAAACTTTATATGATTTTTTAGGGGTGTTAATTTCGGGTCACGGGTCGGGTTCGGGTCGAACCTGAACTGACCCGGGTGCAAGCAGCGGGGCAGCGGGGCAGCGCGGGATTTTTTAAATTAAATGGGGAAACCCGCCGGGTCAACCCGAACCCGACCCGTTTTTTCAAACGGGTCGAATCTGCGAACCCGAACCCAACACGTTTTTCAAACGGGTCAGGTCCAATCCGAATTTTTCGGGTCGAGTTTTCGAGTCGTGTCAAATATTGATAGCCCTATGATTTTTATTTGATGATTCACTTAAAGAATACTAGAAATAGTAATGCTTCATGATGACTTTTTTGGAGCACTAAACCCTAATTTTTGTTGTGTATAGAAAAACTTATTATTATATCCCATACAAAAACATTTAATCTTATTATAATAAATTTTACTCTTGTAAGAATGAGACTTTCATAATATTTTCAAACTATTATTCAATACACTTGTTGGATCGTCTTTGGCTTCATTTGAGACAACTTTCGTACTGCTTTCCAAAGCAACTTTTTATTACAAAAATTTTTAATTCAACAAAAAAAAATTATATATACTGAAAACTTATTTTAAAAATTTTAACGAAACCTTAATTGTCCAATAGATGATAATGCTCGTATCTTTAATAAAACCACTTAAAGGAACAAGGCTTGATGCCATAACAATAATAACAATATCAAGCCTTTATCCAACTATGTGGGGTCGGCTACATGAATCATTTTTCTCCATTATGTCATATTAAGAATCAAATTCTCATTTCAATTTAATATAAAAGGTCATTTCTAATATTTTTTAACCAAGATTTTTTAGGTCTACATCTACCCATTTAACATGTCTACTCTCTTAATAGGGTCTTCAAAGGCTGGCGTTTTATGTGACCAAACTATCTGAGGCGACTCTTTCTAATCTTATCTGCCACTGGAGCTACATACTCTAACTTTTTCATGTATATGCTCGTTTCACATTCTATCTATAAGAGTCGGGAAGCCGCTAGAAAATTTTGTGGGAAAAATGTCGTCGGGAAGCCGCCGGAAATCCGCCGGAAAGACGCCGGAAAACTGACCGCCTGCAAGCCGCCGGAAAATTCCGCCAGTAATAAGTGATTTTCCTGTAGTGACTCATCTACTTAAGCATACTCATATATGCAACACTTTACTTAATTGTATGCTTTTATCTCATTTAATGGCCAACATTCTATGCCATAAAGCATTACATGTCTCACCGCCATTTTATAGAATTTTCCCTTAAGTTTGAGGGGTACTTTTCTATCACACAACAAGCTTGATGTATTCCTCCACTTTAACCATTCAACTTGAGATCTACTAATAATATCTCCATCTCTTTCACCACTCTGGACAATAGACTCGATATATCTAAAATATTTACTCTTATTAATGTCTTGATATCTCAAAGTCACAATCATCCTATTAGATCTATCACTACTAAAATTATACTCAATGTATTCGGTTTTACATCTTCTCAAATAAAAACTTTTAGACTCTAAAGTTGACCTCCATAATTCAACTTTACCTTTAACTCCCTCTCTAGTTTTATCAACAAGCATAATATCATCAAGAAAAATCAAACATCAGGGTACATCCTCCTGCAAATGTCAAGTAAGAACATCCGTGACTAAAGCAAAAAAGAAACATGCTTAAATTTGATCCTTGACACAATCCAACTGAAATAGGAAAATAATTTGTCCAACTTCTTTGTATTTAAACACAAGTAATAGCTTCTACATGCATATATTAATCTCTTTATTTTCTAAAACTCTCCATAACACTTCTCTTGAACTTTATCATAAATTTTCCTTAAATCAATAAATAACATATGTAGATCCTCCATATTATTCTTATAATTCTCCATCAAACCTCTCATTAAATTGAGTATGGTGATGCAAAGGAGTAAAAAAGAGTGTGGGGTAGGATGATAGCAAGGAATAGAGCAATGTAGAGGGGTGGCATGAAAGAGGGGCGTGGTCGTGCAACGATGGGGAGTAGTGCGATTAATTTGAGACTAAGGGTTTGTTTTGGACTGTTTTGTTTTTCAAATAGCAACCACAATTCTATTTGGATACCGCTTTCTTACTATTTCTAGGAAATTTATATGCAATGAAATTGCTTTTTATGGCAGCATCCAAAAAAGTTATTTTTCCTCTATAAACTTTACAATTATCATTATAAAAAGTTACAATAATCACAAATAGATTCTAAAATTGACGTAGCTTTTAACCAAAAAAGTTGTTAGAGGTTGATCACTGTTCGTTAAGGTAAATCATAGCATGGAGATGTATTTATCAACACAATAAAAAATGAGAGAAGGATAGGATCGACACGAGCAACTTTAATGATGCAGAGAGGAGAATGGGAAGAAGTTGAGCTTACATGTTTTCGTTATAAGTACTTACTATGAATCATTACACAAACTATTGTATAAATCTTACACCAGGGAAGGGTTCCACCTAG